TATTTAAACCTACTTAATTTTTTATGAATAAGGCCATTAGTATTTAGTTTAAAACATCGATCCGTATGTTTGTAGCTGTAGCATGAACAATATTTTTACACAAAAGTATAAACGAAGTTTTACTTAATACATATTGTGAGTTTAAAAAAATATCTAACCATTGGCTCAGTTGTGGTCATCACTGAACATACATATTGCAAACATTGCAAAATATGTTTATATTTTCCACACAATTTTTTTTTTTATAATATAGTTCATTCAACAGCAAAAACCGCAATAATCAATTTTTTTTTTGAATTTCATACAGTCTCAGGAAAGTGCAAGGAATACCAAAGAACTTTCATAAAAATTTAGTTTTTTTAATTCGATTTCTTAGAAAAATTTTAAGAATAAGGTTTTGTAGCTCTTTAATTTTTAGTATAACAAAGTGTAAGTTTCATTCTTGAGAAATTTTTTGTCGAGGGAGTTGCTCATTTTCCTCCATAACACGTATTGAAAACTTTAAATTTCTTGGTATTTCTTGCATTTTCTTGCATTTCCCCCGAGTTCTGTATGATATTAAAAAAGTTGATACTTGTAGATTTTAATACTTAATTTTAAACACACTACATATTTATTGACAAATTTTAAAAATTTGTTTTGTTATTTAATTTAAGTTATTTTATTGTAGAATTTTTTTGAATTCTAGTTAAACAAACTTCGCAACTTGGATCTAATAAAAAATAAATAAATGCTTAAAACTTGTCAATATGTGTGGCGTTTAAAATTTTAAAACAGGGTGCATAGTACTTACGTATAAAAAATAATTTTTCCTAAACCCCTCTCCCTTCAATTTTAGTTTGGCTTTGATGAGGATACAATTTCAGTTGATTCAAATGTTAGAAACGGCTTAATGAATCGGCACCTTCGCCCTGTTCAAACAACAATTTCTCAGCTTGCTTTACTTATATCACGAAGGTAATTTATTAAACATATCCATTGCACAAAAATGTAATACATATTTTTTAGGACTTAATTACTTTATTGACGTCAACAGCACGATAAAAAAAGTTTTGGAGTTTTATAAAAGGGCTGGAAAACTTGATGATGCGAACCGGGACGATTTAATAGCCGTTTTAGTTGAAGAATTATGTTACTACAACATATCTCTTAAACCAAGAGATTTTCCATCCATAGTGAACGAAATTAGCTCGATTTTTCCAAGTGAATCGAATACAAAGGTAATTGTGTAACATAAATCTGTGCTCGCTTGCAAACCCCTTTAAATGAAAAATCAAATGGTACTTTATAGTAGTAGTTATTCGATTATTGTAAATGAGCACAGAATTATAGTGTCTTAGGTGCATCATAGACTCTTACTAAGACACATTTGACATTTCAGGAATATTATTACAAACCCCGCGAAGGGGAAAAAAATTCAAGTGGAAAATTTTACTATAAGTTTGTCAACTGTCGAAGAGGCAAAAGACCTTGTCTTCCCTCACCTTGCATCGACGACAATGCATTAAATACCACCTCGTCTGAAGTAAATGAATTAGATGATTCAGTTATAAATGCATTGAAAACGTCACTTAGCAGAGAAAGCGCGAATTGTAACGAAGCTTGTGACAAGTGGTCAAAAACATTCCAAGCCAGACAGTGCGACCTGAGAAACTTAACAAACATCGACTTTTTAAAAGCATGGCCCAAACTATCAGATTCAAGAGCACCTGAACTGGTATTTAAAATATACATATGTACATATATATCGTCGCTGCGCCAACAAAAACCATTATGTGATTTTTGTAAATTTCTTTATTGCATTTGTTGTTAATATTGGAAACATTTCTGCATTTGCGGTTTTTTTATAACTGTTTGTGATTTAGAAGTGATCAACAGCAATGTGCTCGCAGTACTAGAAATACTCTGTAAAAAATACATTTTTTTTGCTCTCCTGAAAAGTTACATATGTACCTGTTGGCGCGGCGTGTTCATTTTATTACTTTTATTTTTTTAGTATTTTTTATTTTATTAATATTTTTTGATTTTCACTGTTTAGATCAAAATAGATTTCAATCTCCTGTATCCATCGAAGCAAGACTTGTTGTATTCAAAATGAGAGCACTTCAAATTAAAGATTCTGCGCTTTTACGAAACTCGCATAAGTAATGAAAATTGCAAACAAATGTTTTTATTGGTAAAGTCCTTAAAACACATAGGTAACTAAATTACATTTTTTCCTTCGTATATGTTTACTAATTAAAATACTTTTAGACACTCAGGATTTCCTAAATTCGACATTGTTAATTTCAGTACTGCAAACCGCTACAAGATTTGTCAACACTACGGGAAATTTTACCAAGAAAATCACTATTGTCGATACACAGGAGAGCTTCATATTGCGTCTGAAATCAGTAAATGACTATCAAAGAAGAGTTGACGAAATCATTTGCAAGTATTATTCTGCTAAAACAACGATTCAGCCATTTTTAATAGTAGTAGGACCTGAAAATGAGCTTAAAGATATTTTTATTTATTTTGACAATACGTTATACAAATTCAACTCATTTATTGAGAGCTTAGACTTGTGCTTTAAAACATTTCATGTTTTTTCCTTAAAATATCCTCAAGGATGTGAATTAGTGTGGGTCTTTATACAACACTACTTTTATGACATAACAACACATTTCGATTCCAAATCATCGAATATAGTTTCACTTATAAACTTTTTAAAAACTGCTTAGTGCTTCAATTGTTATTTAACGCAATTTATAATTTTGCATTTATATGTAATTTAATTCTTAACGTGCCAATGTTTGTTTGTTTTAAGTGTCGTAAAAAATTTTCTGAATCAATGGTTTTAATTCATCACTTTAAATTTAATCATTTATTGACAACAGCATTTCTAAAGCTTAAATGTGTTCAAAATGATTGCAATCAAGTGTTTACTAATTTTTCCTCCTTTAGAAAACACTTAAACAAACAACATCCAACGAAAAGCATAGTATCTACCATTATATTATATTATTATAAATAATTATATATTATATATATATTATATAATAAATATTATATTATATTATATATTATATCATATTATAAATAACAGAAAACAATATTTCCAGTTCGGTGAAGCGAAATTTGGAAATGATTCTCCACCATTAGATTATGGTAGAATAAAAAACTTTAATCTTAAAATGTCAGCAAGTGAAGTAAAGTGTTTCGTTAATTTTATATCATTAATGATTGGAGATCTAGTTCCACTTGAAAACAAACATTGGAAGTTATTTACTCTCCTAATAGAAATTTTAGACTCTTTATTTAAATCGTCATATTCTATAGATGAGCTAACTAAATTGCAGTTTTTGGTAGAAAAACATCATTCTCTATATTTAGCATTATATGGAGCACTAAAACATAAACATTTGTTCGGCCGCTGTGGTGTAGTGGTAAGCAGTGCGCGCTTTCACTCACCAGCACCTGGGTTGAAGCCCTGGTCAAAGCAACATCGCAAAAAATTTAGAAAAAGGTTTTTCTTAACAGCGGTCGTCCCTCGGCAGGCAATGGCAAACCTCCGAGTGTATTTCTGCCATGAAAAACAGCTTCTCATAAAAATACAATCGCCGTTCGGAGTCGGCGTAAAACTGTAGGTCCCTCCGCTTTGTGTGACAATATCAAGGCGCACGCCACAAGTTGGAGGAGAAGCTCGGCCAAACACTAACATATGTGTAAGCGCCAATCTATTATTATTATTAAAACATAAACACCATTTTCTGGTTCACTATGCCACAGCTATTCGGAAATGTGGGCCTCTTAAATATTTGTGGGGAATGCGTTTTGAGGCTAAGCACAAAGAAGCAAACAAATATTTAAGTAATACCACATCTAGAATTAATTCGTCTTACTCCCTAACTATCAAATCTGGATTACAATTCGCAAAGTTCCTACTTGATCATGAAGGTGGCTTAGAGGAAGAAGTAGAATGTGGTACTGTCAGACCTATAAATTTAACAAAAGTTGACTACTTTGTAAAAATAGTACAAACTGAAAACATTGATTATAGCAACGTTAACGTTTTAGAAGAAGCTATATATCAAGGTACAAAATATAAAACCGGTTATCACTTGGCTTACAATGACAATGGGCTAACTCTTTGTAAAATAAAGAATTTTCTGTACCAATCCTCAAATCTATATGTTTTATGTAACCCAATTATTTTAAAATCATTTAGTTCCCATTTTCAATCATATGAAGTGGGAAATAGAATTGATGAAATTCGAATTATAAAAATATCTTCTTTTATAAGTAAGCCATTGCATCTATACTCCATAAATAATGGAAAAACTTATTGTAGAATTAAACGAATTTAACTCTTTTACATACCGCCATGCTCAACTAAATAAGTAAGTGACATTTTGGCCAATTTTGGCTATATTTCTCCTGTTTATTTAATGTTTATTATTTTTGTAGAAAAGTCTACCTCATTATAGAGTGGCTGTCATAATAATACGCCACATATTGACAAGTTTTGACTAAAATTGTATTCTTATTTTAATTATAAATTTTTTTTTAATATAGCTTAACAAAAACCGTATACATCCAAGTTTATAACTGATTAAAATGTCGCTTACTTACTTAGTTTACCACAAGTGTATGTGTACTTTTTATGTTGAATAAGCATTAAAAACTTCGAAATGTTCTTATTTTAAGTTGTGTATTTATTAAAAAACTAATAAAATGTCAAACCAAATATTCTGCATTTTTAATTCAACAGGAAAATTCATTTCCAAGTAACCCTTACGGCCATATTATTGACTTGTCGTTATTCCTTCGTATTCAACGGTTTAGTTATTCTGGGCAATTGTGAGCGACGGCGGAATAACTTTTTTGTCAATTATTCACTATGGAATA